GAGTGTAATTGTGTCAGGGGTACACCAGCAACATTCACCTGTCAGACAGGTGTCTGGTTTTGAGAGCCCAGAGTGTCTCTGCCATGGCTGTTACCCATGGCTCTGTGACCTGCACTCAACCCGGGACACAGTCAGGAGAAAAGGCACTGTTCTCATGGAGGTGTTTGTTGAGGAGAGTGTATGTGCTGTCACTGCTGAGTGTTCAGTTCAGAAATGTCATTGTAAGATTGTTTCTCTAACTATACCCTACATATGCGTGATTCCAAGTTATTAATAAAAATAAAGGGCCCATCAGTATAGAAAACTCCATTCTCTTTTTTTTTTCTTAATGCTCTGGTCTGCTGGAGGTGAGACAAAAGTGAGGCTCCTGGATGCTGTCTGTCTCCTCTCGGCTGGGTTGTGTTTATATACTTTGCATTGTTTGATTTCCTGGTTCCTTTCTTGTTTAAACACGTAGAATTCCTGTTGGCTCTGGTGTATGAGGGTTAGAGCACCTTGACTTGTTGCCCAGAGATATAGAAATATGTTTGGTGAGTGCAGTTGGTGGATGTTTTGTTTCTCAAGGCAGCTACATTGAGTGTCATTTTTCGTTAGAAAAACAAAGAGTCTGAAGGTGTCGATGGACTATAGTTTCAGTGGCTCAGCCTTGGACATGCTTCTGTGATCTGTGGATTTAAGGAACAGAATACCTCTATAGGGTGGCACAGTTCGCGTCACTGCGCTGGAGCCCTGGGTCCAATTCCAGACCTGGGGTGCTATCTGTGTGGAGTTTGTAGGTTCTCTCTGTGATTGCTTCCGGCTGCTCCCATTTCCTCCCACAGTGCACTGACATATTGAAAGTTAACTGTCTGGTGTGTGTGTGTGTCAGTGTTTGCCCTGTGATGGACTGGTGTCCTGTCCAGGGTGTATCGTGCCTTGTGCCCATTACATGCTGCGTAGGCTTCAGCTCCCCTTTGGCCCTGAATTGGATAAAGAGCGTTCGAAAACAGATGGATGGGATACCTCTACAAAGCATAAGGGACCCCCAAAGTACCTTCCTTGAAAGTGCTGACCTGGAGATCACAGGTTTTGTTTCCAAGGAAACACCCCATGGGTCTAATGTACTGCTAATGCATTGCTGGGAGAGAGGAGAGCAACTGATGGGCCTGGGGCCCTCAGAGGTTTCTTTTCTCCCACCTGGAGGTTTCGTTTTCCTCTCCTGGGTGCCCACACTGTCTGCTGTTGCTGTTAACTGTAACATAGTTCTGAAAAGCGCTTAGCGGCAAGCTGTTGAGAAGGAAGTGTAGCAGATAAAAGATAGATCTAGAAATGTGCAAGACTTTAAGTTTGAAACTTCCTTAGCATGTTAAGCAACGTCATTGGCAGTGAGAATTTTCTGGCAGTGTTTTGGGACAGGGCTTTGGAGACCAACGTTGCTCACAGAATGCAATGTGCTTGTTTCTAGAGAGCCACACTCCTGAAAGGTTTATAGTGATCCAGAACTAGTGATCCAGTGATCTGGAACAAATGGTAATTCTGATTATCTAGCTTATCAAAGATAAGGCCAATGAGCTTTCTAGAAGCACTTGTTGATCAGCCCTGAAAAAAGCAATCCCTCCCTGTATTGAATTAATTTTTATTTTAAGCTTATGAGGTAAGCACACTGGTGAATGCTGTCAAAAGTCATTCATTCTAGAACACATTAACTCTTCAGCTGCAGCTGTCTTAGACTTCACAGTGTGTCTAGTGAAGTTGTGTTCTTTGCTTGTTTTTTTGGCAAGGATTTGTGCTGTCTTGAATGCCAAATAACATTCTGTGTTTTAGTCAATTGGACGAGCTTGTCACAGCTGGTTGGATTGCTTTTCCAGATGCTGTCTTTATTGCTTGTGTTAATTGGCTATTACAGTTTGATACCCGCTGGTGTGAAAGGCTGAATTTGTAAGACGTAGCAGCATCTGGTATGGAATGATTCTCATGGTGCGCTGGTACATGATGGCAGAATACGTAGGAGCAAGTGTAAATACAGTACGTAGGTGAGATGCAGGTGAGAAGGTTCTGCCCATCAGGTTTGTCTGGTACTTTAGTGGCTGCGTGAATCTAGACTTCTGTGTAAATTATTCCTGAAGGAACCTGTAGCTGGGGCTTAAACTGCCTGACTGGGACTTCCACATGGTCTGCTCGTTATGTAAAGAAGTTCGTTATTCTCCCTCCTAATTTTTATTTTGTTTTTTAGCAGACCCCCTCTATAACCCCTATTTTATGCACTCGCAGATGGGAGGGCCTGATACCTTTGTGTTTTTTCCAGCTAAGACTCCGCATACATTACTGCTCTAATTAACTAACATCCTAAATATAGTTCTTCTAACCAGGCTTCCATGTGTTTTATAAGCAACTGTACCTTTAAAAAAGTGAACGTTGTGAGTAATTAACTAACATTTTAAATCTTGAATATTTTAAAGGAAATATTTAGGTTTAATTGACTTCTCAGTTCGGAACAAAATCGGAGGGCCCTTAAGTTCTCTGGTGTCAGAGTTTGAGACGCCTGTTCTCGACTACCTTGAAGAGATAGAGGTTTGGCTAGAACTGCCTTTGATTTAAATTCCACACTTGTTTTGCTATATTTCTATACAGTTTTATAGCTTCCCCCAATTGTATTGATGAACATATGGACGAATCTGCATAAACACCCAGATCCCTTTCAGGAGTAGGTCCTATAGCTCTGAATTGCTCATGTGATATGTATAATGCAAGCTTCTACTTCCTGTGTGGATCACTTTGCAGTCAATTTTAAATGTGTCTGCAAAATCCACGATCTTGTCTGTCATATCATAAGTCTCTTGATGCTGTTTGTATGCTACTCCCTCTATACTTCTGTCATCAGTGAATTTGGTTAATTTGCTAACTATACCCAGATCTAAACTGTTAGTGATCAAAAAGAGCATTGGGCCTACAATGTACCCCTGCTGTACGCCAGTTCCTACATCTGCCCTGTAAGAGGTCATGACTTTATAGATTTTGCATTGATTCCTGTCGTATCCGGTTCCCAATCCAAGTGCATGTGTTATAATGAATTCCTGTGATGTTTAGTTGAAGAATGGACCTTACATTAGGGACCTTAATAAAAGTTCTTCAGAAACCTCAGTTGTTTGTTGGGGGGAAAAGTCCCGCCTCCACCGAGCAGGTTTAACTGTACCCTGAACTGACCTGAAAGTTCCTTTGGAAAAGCCCACTGCAAGAACTGGTGCTTTGCTGGTGTGGTGAGCTGTTGTGCTTAGTCAAGTTTCCAACAGGAGCTCCATGCTTCAGAAGTGACAGACCTGGCTCGCTGTGTGCACATGTCTGCTAAAAGTTGGTTTTCTTTGTATTAAAGCCTTTCATTTTGATCTGTGTAAAACAACCCGTGAAGTCTCATTTTATTTCAACAGAAAAATTCTCATCCTAACTCATTTTTCTGCTGTGTGACTTCTGATTTAATTTTATGTTGGTGGCGATTTTTGAAAAGGACAC